AATGCATGTAGAAGGCATACATAGTGCTTTCAAAATAGTTTTATAATTTTGTGAAAATGCTTATACTTAATGTAAAAGCCTTCACACACTATGGAAACCTGTGCACAAGAAGTAAAATCATCTAAAAGATCATCATTAACCATTTTTAAACTTTTAAAATATTTCTACAAATCTCCCTTACCTGTGTACAAACACATAAGTACAGTTTTTATGTGAGGGAAGCTTATTATCATTCTTCATTATAATTTTTTTTATAACAGTGAATAACAAATGTCTTTCCATATCAATAAAATAGATCTATACCAGTACTTGTATTTAGTTAATTACTGCTACACTGTGTGCATGTAGTGTAACTCAGCAAATCTACAGATAAATTTTGACTTTTTCCTCTACTTTAAGCAATACTATATTTCATACTATACCTAACATGTTTCTGCAAAAAATAATTGTACAATGTGCAGTTATTTCTTTGATTAAATTAAGAAATATGGTTGTACATTTTATACTTGGAAAGTATTACCATTTGTGAAATTTGCTTTATACAGTACACTCAACAGTATTGATTGTTCTGGTTTTTCTATAACACCATTGGCATACAAAATTTTCAAGGGTCTTTTATCTTTATCAATGTGAAAGGCAAAAGGTACTATATTATTACTTATTTGCATTGCTTGATTATCTTGCTTTGAGCTCATTTTTTTCTTTTACAAGTTATCATATTAATATTTAGAGATTGTTTTTTGTGGAATTTTAGATTTATATATTACATATTATTTTGCCATTTATAAATCATACAAATATTTGTTTCAATGTGTGTTATAATTTTGTTATTTTTATACAGTTAAAAGTATTAGTTATGTACTGTAGTTTTGATTTTTCCTGTAGTGATCTACTCAGAAAGGCTAGCCTTATTTCAAGATTGTATTGCTTGGAGAATTGTTGTGAGTTTGAGGCCAACCTGGGCTACAAAGTGAGCTCAAGGCAGGCCTGAGCTGCATAGCGAGACCCTGTCTCAAAAAGACAAAAAAACAAAAAACCAAAAACCAAAAAACAGAAAGTCAAGATTGTATTGCTTAAGCTGGGGATGTGGCTCAGCAGTATAGTACCCACCAGCAAGTGCAGGACCCTGAGTTCCATTCCCAGAATCCCCCCAAAAAGATTGTATTGCTTGTATTTTATTTAGCCTGTACTTTTAATTCTTACATTAAATCTTTAATTTATGTGGAATTGTTTGTGTTGTACATAATTGAGGAAATGGTTAAGGTTTGTGTCCAGCTAGTTCTAATTTTTAATTTCAGTAATCTACTTTTTCCCTTATTAACATATGGCATTTACCATGTTAGATTATAAGTTCTTGGTTCTCTTTTGTGTCTCTCCTGTTTATTCTTTTACCTTCCTATCTCTTCTAGTGTATCATACTGTTCTTTTCATGAGTGTATTTGCTTGTTTTAAAATACAAGTGTCTCTTTTTCTTACAGTTTACTGGGCTGTTTCCACAGTTTTTAAAAATAGAACACTAATTGGAAGTAAACATCTTACTATAATGATTGGACCCCAAGTTTGAAAACTGATATTTTTTAGAAATTTGAAGACACAAGTATGATTTTTGCTCAAAAGAAATGATACACGATTGTGATGTGTTAGGGTCACTTGAAAGGCATTACATTTGAAATTTATTTCTTAAGACTGAAGGGAGTCATTGAGGCTTAAAAGTTGGGGGTGTAGGACCAGATGTTATGTGTGTGGTTTAAGTCACTCTCTCTACATGTAGAGGCTAGAACGAAGAGGGGAAGCACTAGAGAAATGTAGAGAAAGCAGGAAGAATTATTGCTATAATGTAGATGAGAATATCATGGAGAAAACCGAATAGATGATAAAATGAAGAGCAGAACATGGAGGAGATGGCAATGGAGATGGAGATGTCAGACTGTTACCAGGTACCGGATTGAGTCAGAATTTAATGCTATTCACAGTACTCTTTACTACTATTAATAACATTATTAATATTTATTATCTTAGTCACTATACTCATTCTTGTTAATATTACTCATTATTACCTTTCTTGCTTAAAGAAGTATTTCTCAATCTTTCTTAGTATGAGAACTCCATTTTAATTAGGAAAAAATTTGTAGATTATTCTCTTTCCACATCGTGTTTGTCTTTTTATTTGCAGTTGACATCATGAGCACATATTATTTACATGTATATTTTGTTAAGGCTAAAGGAAATCAAAATGGCAATGGTTAGTGCAGTTAAAGGGAAAGAATTCTTGCAAAAACTTCAAGTTAAATGGTTCCTTCACAGATCTGCAGTCCACAAGATCTGTAGTCACAAAGTTTAGAACTATTAATGGAATAATTCTGTATGAATATGTTTTGAAGATTTAAACTCTAGGTGTGCAACTGTGCCTCTTCTATTGGGAAAAGTAATTCCAGAAAATAGTGTCCCCCCGCTCTTTTTTGTGGTGCTGGGGATTGAACCTAGGGCTTTGCAAGCATTCTACTGCTAAGCTACATCCCCAGCCCGAGAGCCTTCTTTATGAAAGAAACATTGTTAAGCAGGAAAAAGTCATTAACATGTGCATTTAATATAAAGAAGAATTTGCTAAATATAACCAAATTTGAGAAATTTAAAATGGTCTAGATGACTAAGCATGAGGAATTTTAGTGACCTTATATTTTTCTATATATTGTTGTACAAATAGCTTTATTACTGTCACTAGAGCATTTTTATTTAATAAAGAATTAGTTGTACTCCATTATCTACAGCGTGAACTACATTATAAAATGTTTCTTATTAAAGTATAAATTGTTTATGTTCTTACTGTAATTCATTGACTGAGCGGTCAGGAACTTAGAATATGTATGTATTTCTTTCTCATGTCTTAATGTTTCAGAAGAATGCTTTGTAGAATTATATTGTCATATAATTTCATCTTTTGGAGTGGTGAGTGTCTGCACAAACATTTGTGTGATATAATAAAAAACTACTGGTGATTAAAATTTAATCATAGTTGATTTTGCTTTTGAAGGCTCTTTGTGAAAATGTTATTTTGTAGTCCTTAAATTCTGCAAAACATGAACTTTTATGTTGTTTATTTTAAAAGAATAACTTTTGACACACCATAAAATTAATACTAATTAATTTTTCTTGGTGTGATTATATGGTATTATCAATGAATAATAATACCATTATTCAGTAGTATTATTAATATATTAATTAATAATATATTATTAATATTGAATATGTTCAATATTGTTGCTGCTATGGAATGAAAATGAAATATGATTAATTCAAAGATACATAAAAATATCCATAAATGCTAAGTTGGCATAGTGAAGATAAAAGAGTTGAAGATGGCTGGGTGTGGTGGCGCATGCCTGTAATCCCAGCACTCGGGAGGCTGAGGCAGGAGGATCGTGCGAGTTCGAGACCAGCCTGGGCTACAAAGTGCACTTAAGGCCCACCTAAACTATATAGCGAGACTCTATCTCAAAAAGGCAAAAAAAAAAAAAAAAAAGTTTAAGATGAAAAGATGTAATTAAAGACTTAAAAGGTAGCTGGAGAAACAGGGAATCAATATACTTGCTATTGAAATGACACGTTGGATATTCTAAATAAATTGTACTGTGGCTCATTCCGCCAACAGCAAGCTACCTTTTGAACCATGGCATATTTCACGAGTCCGTGGGCTATGTTATATGTTGATTGCTGTGTAAAGCTACTGAATTATTTTTCATCACAGTTTAGTAAACCTGACTGTCAATGAAAGAATTGTATGTTTTAATTATACTTTGTATGCCTTTTGTCGATGTGATTCTCAGTGTTTATGATCAATGGTATATGGAATAAAACTTACATTACGTTATGCTCTTAGATATCAATGCATCAATAACTGATTGAAATGAATTTTACATTAAAAATATTTTTATCCTACTAACAATTTTAAAGTAGTGTGTTTTTCATATTTTGACTGATATGTATATATATCTTAAAATTTATCTTTCCCTTTATACTTTGGAGAATATACCAAACAGAATAAAGCTCAAATTTTTAGGAAACAGGGTCTCCATGAGGCATATCTTTATTCTGTAGAAAGCTACTGATTGGACACCTACTCAGTCAGAATTGCTCTTTAGTGTTGAACCATATGTAATCTTACAATTATAAAAGAGATTTTTATTGAGTAACAGTGGTTAAAGTTGCTTTTTGTGCTTATGATATAAATACAATGTTTGAATGAACTCCAATAGCAGAACCTCTGGAAACATAGTATGATATATTGCTGAATTTAAATAATCTCTCCATGTTGCCATTTTACATGGATGATATCATAAGCAAGAAATGACAGATTAAGATCTGCCTAGCAGAGGGAAAACTAAATTATGTGACTTTTATGGAGGCATAAATAAACCTATTAACCATTATTTGGAATACCAGTTAGTGGAAAGAGCACTGACAATTTTATTTATCAACATTAAACATAATTATTAGTTACATACCTGATGAACCTAGCAGTAAGCAGCCCATGTTGGATACACTGGGACCTCAATTCCATCACACATGAGGGATGATTATTGAAATCCTGTGGGGAAATAAGTAATTGTAGTTGTAAAATTTAATTGCCTCGAAATGAGGCAAATTATATTTTCCTGTCTGAGAATATAAATAGTATGACATTAAGGTAACAAGCTGTAGTAGTTATACATAGAAAATGGACTAATGAATGGTTTTAAAAGAAACCGATGCCTTTGTAGTGTCATAGTGCTCCATGGGAGTGACATGTATGCACATTTTCTTTAGATATATTTAATTGATGAGCTATTTTCTATGTTCTTTTCATAGTGAAAATTAATCTGGGAGGGAACTTTTTGAATGAATTACCACAGGTGATTGGGATTTATATAATTGAAAAATAATCATATTGTGATTAGCAGTATTGTGAAATGAGCAAGAGACAATTCCTATTTTTTTGTGCTTTTCTTTCTTTTTCTTTGAAGATCCAAACTCCAGAATTTGTGGCCATTTACTCATAAGTGCAGCAAAGAGTTCATTTGCAAAACTCATGGATAAAATTAGTCTGGCAATGGAGAGTATACCTCTGCATTGTGGCAGGAGCATTACATATGTAGAAAAAGATTCCTTGGTTCAGAGGTTGGCCCGTGGACTTCATAAAGTGAACACACTGGCCCTGAAATATGGTTTGCGTGGCCATATTCCCATTATGGTATGTATATAGTTTCATTTAAAGGGACTTTAAGACTTGTAGATTTAATTTTGAATGAGACTTAACTTACAGTTTAAGTTAGTTGTATATGAATATTTAGATTTTCTTTAGATGTCATGTAAACGTTTAATACAGTAAATAAAAACACTTCTGACAAAGTCCTATTCTAAATATTGTATACCGTTTTCTTTTAATGGGTTGTGACAGAATTAATCTCACAGCTGTCAATTTTGCTTTCTAGCCATCTAGATACTTCTTTTTGTATTGCAGGTGTTCACTTCATATAAGCCAAATTATTGATCACATAAAAAATAAAGCTTTCATCTGTAAGTTTCAGTAATAACTGGTTTCTTTTTTTGGATAATCTAAGTTACATTTGGTTTAGTAAATGGTCATTGTTATTGCTTAATTAGTAAATCTGATTTATTGCTTGTAAAATTGTTCCTCTTTGACGCCAGAAAAGCACAGCATCGTTACAAAAGCAAATATTTGGATTTACACAAAGGCTGCATGCGGCAGAGGTGGAGCGGCGCTCACTGCGCCTAGAGGTTACGGAGTTCAAACGAAACACGAATGAAATGAAGAAGGAGCTTGACAAGGTGCGGGGCCTCCAAATGCAGCTAAATGACTGCAAGCACTCTGTAAGTATCCACGGTTTAGAAAAACATGGCCTCATTACAGTGGTAGCTCTCGCTGTCCTTTTTTTCTCAACTGTTATTTTTTTAAAAAAATTCCAAGTCCTATTAATAAGATTTATTTTTTTTCCTCAGAAAACTACCTTTCTAAAATGCCTCCAATTGAGGAACCTACTGTTGGGGGAGAGGGGATTTCCTCTCCTTGCTCTTTCCATTGAATATTTTTGGTAAATTTGACTATTTCTAATTTGAGATCAAATTGCTTTTTTTATTAGTACATATTTGTCATACATAGTGATGACATTCATTGTAGGGAATTTGTACCTGTACATAACTTATCTTAACCCTTTTTTTCACATTCCCCTCCCCTCCTTTTACCCTTCTTCCCCTCCCATTTACGAAAGCTCTGTTTCCATTTTTTCCCTTCCATTCTCTTTTTTTTCCTTTTTCGTTCCTTCCCTCTCACCTCCCATCCCCTTGTCCTGCTTCCCATTTGTGTTCCTCACAAAAGAGAAACCATGTGATATTTAAACTTGTGTATCTTAACTTATTTCGCTTAAGATTATGGTCTCAAGGTGCATCCATTTTCCTGAAATGACTGCAGTCTATCCATCTTTATGGCAGAGTAGTGCTATATTGTATATTAATGCCACATTTTCTTTATTCATCTGTTGGTGGGTCTATAGGCTGTTTCTAATATTTATTATAAATTGTGCTGTTATAAACATGATTATGTGTATATTCCTATGGTTTGATGCCTTTAACTCTTTTGGGAAGATACTGAAAAGGGGCACAGCTAGGTCAAATGGAACCCCTAGTTTTAGGTTTTTGAAGAATCTCCATACTGGTTTTCTTAGTGGTTTTGCCAGTGTACACTCCCAACAACAGTGGAGAAATATTCCTTTTTAC